CTGCCCATTTACACTGCTGTGGCATTTGCACCTTTTAATTCATGTAGTAAAATACCTGCCTGTCCTTGATACAACTGTTGGCCAAATTGCACTCATTAAAAATGTTCTGCTGCTGGCAAATTTTGCACCTCTATATCATCTTTGGTCTCTTACATTTTAGGAAGAGCTTGATAGAACTGGTTTGCCTCAGCAAGAACAGAGACAGCCACAGCTACCTACTGGCCAATATCTATCTGCCTGTTAAAGTGGGTCTATTACTGATTAATACAATTGTTGCTGCTAAGGCTACTTAAAAAACAACTTTTATTTATTTTTTTCAAACTGAAATGAATCCGATTGGGGTGTTGCTGCTCTATGTTAGTCAATCTAATTGTAAAAAAAAATAAAATCATGTTTAGAGCAAAATATGTGCTGGCAGTATATGCTGTCACTGAGACTGTCCATGAAAATCATATAATTCCATCTAACTCCACATACAGCTTCAAGGCATCTTCTAAGCATGTTATTTAAACGTTTTGTGTATTTTTCAGTGTTGCCCTTCAAGCTGCATAAAACACTCTCTCCTTGCTGTAAGGTCTTTTTTTTGGCAGTACCCAGCTCCCTGTGTATTTTTTGTCCACTAGTTTGCTTATTAACCCTAAAATGCCCAGAATATAACCAACAGGATTTGCCCCCATGGAGCTTAATTGGATTCAATTCTAAGTTCAAGCTCACCAAATTTCAAACAAGATTGATCAAACCCTTGCTAATCGAACCACGCACATTCACCCATTACCTTCTCTATACACTACATATGTAACCTGTATAGTTCTGAAGGATAGATTTTGCATAACCAGGCAACTTACTGCTTATATTAGTAGTCAGTGGAAAAGTTCCCCTATACATTGGTTGTCCATATAAACGTGCTCCCTTACACTGGAGGTCAGTGGGAAAGTTTTCTTTATGTTTGTGTCCAGTAGGATAGGTGCCCTCTTCCAGTGGAAAAGAAGACCCTTTAATTTGGTGATCAGTGGAAGGAATGCCTGGGTGCATTTCTCAAGGAACCATTAGCAATCTCTGAAGTAATCCCAGGTTTCCACATAGCACTGGCTGACCTAGAAATCAAAAGGCAAATATTGGTATCATACTATTTTACAATTGAGGAAAGGCAGTATATATTTCTTTCAAATTTACTGCAGCTGAATATCAGGTTTCATAATACCTTAGTTCTAGGTGACAATCAGATAATATCCACTGATCTAAGTAATATTTAACTAAATAAAAAAGTGAACGATACAAGACTGTTGTAAAATAATCAAGCAATGTTATTGGCCATCTGTCATCCCTGGGCCTCGCCTGAGAACTTGTGAAGACACAATTTATAGTCTGATAACTTCTCAATATATCTCTTTGCACTTGGAAGCAACTACAGCTGTTTACACAATACATGCTCCCGATTTTTATTGAACACTACATTTACTACATGGATGCAATATAGATATTTTACTTGTTTAAACATCTGGAAAAGAAAGCGACAAGGAAAACAAGATGACCATGTATGAAAAGCCCGAGATCAGTAACTTTTCAGTGTGGGACTATGTTGTGTTTGCAGCTCTCTTAGTGGTTTCGGCAGGCATTGGAGTCTTCTTTGCAATTAAAGAAAGGAGAAATAAAACATCAAATGAATTCTTGGTTGGTGGGAGACAGATGACTTGTGGACCTGTGGCTCTGTCACTGACTGCTAGTTTTATGTCTGCAATAACTGTTCTGGGGACTCCATCAGAAGTTGTTCGCTTTGGAGCATACTACTTCTTTTTTGCTATTTCCTATACGTTTGTGATCACGATTTCTGCTGAACTCTTTATACCAGTATTTTACAGGTCTGGCATTACTAGCACTTACGAAGTAAGTAACAAGAAAATAAACTTGATTCAATGAAATTACATTTCCGTACTTTATAAAACTGTTTGTTAGACACTGACTAAAGCAAAAATGTTGGGTATTCTAAAGGAACCTTCTATTGTGTTTACATTATTGTAGTATTGTCTTTTATGTAGTGCGGTGTGTTAATTTAGATGCAACCAGCGTGGGAGTGTCCAGGAAGTGAAGCACATCCCCAGGTCACTTAACAATTCACAAGCTCACTGAACTATGCGATCCACTGAGGAGCAAATATTCATTTACACATTAGTGTATTAAGACCCTATCCATTTTAGCTACATTACACCACTTATACCAGATTTTATTTTTTATTGTGCATGTGAACTATTCTGGCATACCACTTAAAGTAAATGCTAGTTGCCTAGCTGTCTAAGGATGAGTACTTTTTGACTCATTGGCCTGAAAGTAGCTTGCAGATTAGAAAGTCAGAATCAAGTAGGAACCCCTGATATGCATGCTTGTTTGGTTCAGTGACAATGAAAGATTTAAAGCCACTGGATCATCATGATGGCCAGGCAACTTGTATTTTCTGTATAAGCATTGGCAGCTGCCATATTCTATCAGTACGTGTTTACTTTAGAATGTAAATGTAAATTATTACTATTATTTTTTTGATTATTATTTTCTACTTGCATATGCTTATTTACAACCATTAGCATTATTGGCCAAACATGTATGCATATGGAATACATGTACAAGATTAGTAAATTGACCTGACCATACAGTAGATTTAGATCAGCTACAGTGCAAACAGTTGAATTATGATTCCGGGCCTATTCACACCAGATGCATTGCATGCAGTACTCTTTTTTAAATTGCCTTGTCTTGCGTTGCAGCTGTGCTGGGAAAAATGGCCAGCGCAGCCCTAGTGCACGACAGGGTAATTTGCCTTGTCAAGTATGGGCACAATTGTGGAATGGTCTCTTAAGGGAGTCGTGATCGAGCACAATCCAGAAATAAATGTAAACTATGGTTATTTGTACACACTGAAAATTTATTTTAATTCTTCAGTGTCATTTTGTGATAACTCCCGAAAGCCTCACAACTAGCATTTAAATTTAAGAGGTCTATTCATGAATGTTTACACACAGAATTCAAACAGCTTTCACCCATGATGCACACTTTCTTTCTAAATATATTCAATTGCAAACTGCGTGAATCATGGAATCATGAAAGTTATCTGCATTTTGTGTGCAAAAATATATATATAAATAGACCCTGAGGGTAGCAAGCCATTTCAGACAATACAGTAGTTTTAGTTCACAAATGCAAAACATATGTAATGTGGGCATTCTTTGCTTCATTTGTGTTTTTATGACTAATTGATTTTTTGATTACAAATGTACCAAAAACGATTTTATTGCTATTTGAGTTTTTTTTACTGCAAAAATAAATTCACAAAACTGTCTGTTTGGGTTATCAGTCTTTAGAATACCGTCATGGTGATGACTGTGAATTTCAGTGAGGTGTCTATTGGGCTATAGTGAATTGCCCATACAGCAGCCCTTTGGTTAGACTGAACCAAAGGGCACTGGCAGCCGAAGAAAACTAAGTCTGGATCCTTCTGCTCCTACGTGAATAACCCCCTTAATAAATAAAACTTCTTTAAAGGAGAACTATGGGGTCAGTGTTTTTCCCCATAGTTCTCCTTAGGGTAATGGGAGGACACAAACTAGCGTCCTCCCGTTACCCTAAGCTCAGTATACCGCAAGCTACAGCTCGCGGTATACTGAGACGCCGCACCTGGAGCGGATCCCGACGTAGATGACGGGATCCGCCCAGCTGCGTGAGTGACAGCTGGCTCTGCCTATCTAGAGGCAGAGCCAGCTGTACCCGCCCCCTCCCCCGTCCGTTCCGCCAGTCAGCGCAGGCAGATCGGAGCGGGGAGAGGGGAATCCAGCCCCTCCCCCTGTCACGGCAGAGAGCCGTGACAGGATCGAGAGGTGAGGGAACCCGGTATGTGTTCCCTCACCTCCCGATCTACTGAGCCGACCTGTGACAGTCTCATTGTCACAGGTCGGCTTAGAACTATGAGGTGAGTGGAAATCACTCATCTCATAGTTCTCCTTTAAGACAAAATAGCAATTTATGAAAAAGTATGGCTTTCAAAGGCTGCATTATAGCAAATACTGATTCCAGACCTAAGTACTATTTATTTATGTGAATAGAACATTTTTAGAAGAAATTATCATAAAATAAGATAACAAATTGAGTTAAAATAACATCCATCTTTGTGAATTGAGCTTAAAGCAGAGTATATCCCAAGCCAAATCTTGCATTGTTTTGTTTTGTATAGAGTTTTGGATAGAGTATAGATTGGTTGTCAGGTTGTCCATTTGGGGAGATTTTGCTTTTTTCTTGCCCTGTACAGGACAGAAACAGAGAGTGAGAGGACACCTCTCCAAAAGGTAAACAAATCACCCCTTAGCTTTGACAGTTGTTACCAGAACAAATGTCTTCATTGATAAATTCCCCTTCTACTGTTGTTCTGGTGACAACTCAAAATCATGATTTGTCCCCAATTTCAGTCCAGGTAATAGCGGTCAACTTGACACATAGAGTTGGTGAATCTTCCTTACGAGGACACAGACAGCTATAACAACCTATCAGAGGATCTAACTCCTCTACACTCCATCCAAAACAAAAACAAGTTTTGGCTTTAGTTAGAGATTAAGATACATTTTAGCACCTGTGTTGATGGGCTTGAGCTTGAAACAATAGCAGCAGTTTGATGCCTCTGAGATCATTCAAAATTCATGACAGGTGCATTTGAACCGCAGTTGACATTCTCTGACCTTCATTTGACTGAAATGCCACTTGCAACTAACCCAAACTCACCTTACTGTAGCGTGAACATCTCTGAATTCTCTTTTTGCAAAGTACACAAGTGCTATTAATTCCTCGCAATTTATAGATTTGAACTCACATAAAATAGCAATTTCGAATTGTATATGTTTTACTGTTGACTTTGTATAACCTAAGATATGCCATTAAGCTGCAGAGCTATCATTAAATGCATTGCCGAGTTATGTATTTATTCAGTCATCTAAAATATGTTCTCTCTTTTTTGTTTCCTTCAGTACCTAGAACTTCGCTTTAACAAACCTGTCCGTTTTTTTGCAACTATTATGTATATTTTACAAACGGTAAGAATCTGACACAATGGATATAATACTATCAGAGAAAGTAATTCTTTCTGGAAACAATACATTTCTCAAAACCACAAAGTATTACAATTAAATAGGGTCACAGTAATCACAAATGTGAGTTTAAAAAATAAAAAATAAAGTATCTCCGAGGTTATACTTCAATATATTCTTGTATCTATCCATGTCTTATCATTTTCTAGATAGGATACAGTTAATGTGATTCTTGCCTTTACCATACAATGGCAAACTGCTTTACTGGTTTACTTGTAATGGTAATGGTTTACTTGATTACTTGGTTTACTTGTACTGGTAATGGTTTACTTGTTTGTCTACCTTAACAAAAGTAATGTATATCTAAAACCACAAAACTGTTTTTGGTAAAGTATGGAACCTGGGTCAGGTTTTTTTTAATCATCTTTGTCGCAGTGGCAGAGATTTTCTTTCACTTCACGTAGATACAACAGGAAGTGAGAGGTCATCTTTTCAAAGTGTACCCACTGGAAGATTCTTCCTCACCTCCTGTTCTGGTGAAAGTTTTAAAATTGTGGATTTCTTATTATGTGCCAGGAAAATTGGTCACCACGACAAATTGTGAGGGTGAACCCCTCCCAGGGAAGATAACAATAAAAACACTTCCATGCTCTATACAACATTTGAAATGTTGGGGTGAAGTTACCACCTGACCTTTGAGGACACATATGGGAGATCTAATCAAGAAAACATGGAAGAATAAGAAATTCTTACAATAGTAACAATGTTTTACTTTTCATGAGAGGGCTCAGTTCCTTAACCAAGAAAGGACCCCAAAAGAAAATGTTAGTGATGCATAAAGTTTTGGTGCAGTACTGGCTTCATTTTCTCAGGATCTATCATAAGGGAGACTTTTCCCACTTGGCTCTGTTTCCTGCCAGTACAACGATAAGCTGGTTCAAGGCTGGTTCAGATGTCCAGACCCTCTCAACTAAGGTATATGTTCTAAACATATTTCCTTTGAACCATCCATGCAGGCGCATAGCTAGAAATCACAAGACTCTATAGCTAAATTGTGTATGCCCACCCCCACAAAAAAATGCCACTGAACAACACATTGCTACAGTCATGTGACACAGTGCCTGAGCTACAGCATATATTATTATATATGATATGATTACATGCAGTTAGAAAATAATCACTATCCTTGGATGCATTGATCATGTATCCATGGAGGGATTTACCAGCCCCCTAATTTCTAGGAGGGGACCCCTGGAAAAGCATATTTTCCCCATGCCGATGAGGACAAGGGTCTCTTCACCACAACCCTCACCTTGGCTTTGGCTCCCTTCACTTTGGTCCGGTTATGCCTTTGGCAGCTTAGTGAATAACCCCCAAAGTGTCCTGTACACTTCGTAACCCTGCTAATCCATAACCCTTCTTTACCTGAACACTTCATAGTGCATATTTATAAAACAGTATATGTAGGGTGATGAACACTGCAGCAGATTGGCCTTCTTTCTTTTCTCAACTTGTTTCACTCCAAAACATGGGCTTCATCAGGAGATAGGTGATCAAATCAAAATCAATCCAGACCAAATTCCAAAGGAAGGAGATAGGCCAATATCCCGTGTCTTGGTGGGGCACCATGGAAGAGGGAAAGAACACACCGTCAGCCAACAACGACTACTACCGCCAGTTAAGGATCTGATGTGACAAGAGGACTGGCTCCTTCTAAGTGTTTGAGGTCCTGGCAGGTTCCTCCCATTTAAATTGGTCCAGCAATGCTTTGAATGCCTATCTCCTGATGAAGTCCCAAAGGAAGAAGGTCAATCTGCTGCACCATTTGTCACCCTACATATGAATACAACAAGTGTTGGAAAGTGATACATATATCTGCACCCAAATGACAGTATGATGATGTTGTAACCTTTATTTTTATTGTGCATATGTATATGCACAATAAAAATAAGGGTTACAATATCATTATATATTA